ATCGTTTTATAACAGTAACACAGACGTGGCAATATATTTCCAGTCGGCCATGAAACATGAACAAAAATGTCCATCACAGAGTACGTGTTCATATACGTACGTCTACGTGTATAAACAATGGATGAATGAAACCAATTGGTAACGTGACGTAACGTCTGTCACTGCTGACTCATAACATAAAACATTGAACATGAGTAAATCTAACGTTACATATAAATCATTATACTAACGGAATATGTTAAATACATTCCATTTGCAAACATTTCTTTATAATCTATGACACTATGGAGATCACTAGTACCCGATGCAATGCCCACAGAATTAGGTCTTTTTCAGAAGCGATTCGACGTCAGCAGATGTGTGCCACGAGTGATAAAGATGTGGGTGGATTTCTGAAAATTTTAATTCTTCTTAATAGGAAACGAAAAAATAATGCCTTCGACGTGGAAATAGAATTCTAATAGCACAGGAGGTAAATACGGAAACGCATCTTTCGTCGCTCGGTTCACTGAACTCACCACTCACGCTACTACACGAGTACTGGAGGTACAACTACACCTCTTCATTCACTTGTTTCGTTAATTAGTATTATGTATATACAACACTGCAATTTCAATAGTAGATGTTTTCTATGTTATAAAGAAGATTTCCAAACAATTTTGATTTCTACTCTTTAAAATATTTATATTTTGATGTTACGATATTGTTCGACACGAATCATGGTTCCAAAAATATTCATTAAAACTGCATTTTTAATGTAAATCTGAAAAAAATTCTGAGACAGTGAAATATTTAAAAGAAAAATTAATAATTTCCAAGAAAAAGTATATTTATTATCATTTTAAATATGGAAGTTAAATGCTTTATACGAATTATGAAACTGGTGGTTCTATAGAATGGTACAGACGTTCTCGTAATAGTTTGTTTTCTATTTTTTTTTTTTGGTGAGGGCTAGCTTTTTGGTTTTTCCTCACACTCTCCCCAGTTGCCATCTATCGCCGCCCAGATTTTACTGTTTCACATTTTCTTAACTTTTCGGTCCGCTAATGGTAGAACTGACAAGTCTCTAAGAATATTATAGAAGAGTAGAATTAGCCCTACATGGTAATTTTCGTTGAAAAATTTGGAACGTCTTTTGACAAATTGTTTTTTGAAAGTTTCTGTAATTGCGGAATTTGAAGCTCTATTTCACAGAATCCTTTTGACTTTTAGCGTATTTTAGCCTTAAAATATTATGCGTAAGCAGTTTCCCAAAGAAGCTAGTGGTGCCACCGAATTACACAGTCTCGTAATAATTAATTTCCTAATTCATTTAATCTGGGTAGCTTTTCGGCCTTGCCCCACCCTCTTCCCAGGTGCATTTTCTGTCGCCCAAACTTCATTTTTTCACATTTTCTCGACGTTTCTGTTCCCTAATGGTAGAACTGAATCATGACTTCAAGTACGTTATAGAAGAGTACTTTTGAGAAAATGTGGTTTAAAATTTACTGTAAATGGAACATTGAAATCCTTTTTTAACAGAAAATTTGAATTTTTTAAGAAACTTCAAAGGAAAGCATTTGATGCACTTCTAATCACATACACAATAATGCATACAAATTGCCTGAATTGCAAATATTAACTGCGTGAGAGGTATATGAAAAAAAAAAACATTCGTGCATGTGACGCACACTATCGTCTTACGCAATGCATTTAGCACTATCCGTACAAAACATTTGAAGAAATATTTGTGTTAGGGCGTTTATCACAATGCAAAAATTTGAGTTCATTTTCACAGAAATCTTTGAGTTTTCCAGAAACTTTATCAGACATAATTTGCAGCACATGTACTCGTAAATGTAATTATGTATACAAATCGCCTGTAGTGTATATATTAACTACGTGAGAGCCAAGTCAAAAAAATATTCATAATCTTCCTGCAATAATTGATCTTTATCTCTTTGGATCAATTCTTTAGTTAAGTCTAAATCTTCTCCTCTTAACATTGACACCTCCTCCAAGGAAAAACCTTTCTTATTTCAAAAACTTTCCCGTGCCCAATCAGATTTCTCAGTCTATGTTTTTATCTATTTCCAAACAAACTTGCTTTAATAACTCATTGAAACCACTCTTCTAATTCTGTCCTCAAACTTACATGCTATTTTCCCCATTTATATTATAATTTTTTGCCTCTTTGTCTTCCATCTTACCATGTAACCAGGTGTGCAAAGGGAAGTTTCTATTTTGAAGGTCTATTCCTAGGATCCATCTTAAACATCTTTTGTGTATTGCTTCTAGTTTCCTCCTTTTGTTCCATCCCCGAATGTCTGCTCCCGACATCAAAATAGAAGCAGCCAACAGAAATGTAAGGGTGAGTGAGGAAGGAATCATCGCGTAGGGCACCTGGCCTTTTTCACAGGGTACCGCCTCGGCATTCGCCTGGCATTAATCGGAGAAATGGTGGAAAACCATCGATCGGAGCAGCCGGCTGCTAGAATTCTCCTCGAGATAGCGGCTTAATTCGACATTGCTAAATTCATCTAGTACCATCGTTGAGTTTGGAACCTTACAAGGTTCCGGTTAGAGTTGCTGCAGAGACAGCAACGTTTATGACTGTGAGCTAACACAGCCCACCTACTCTAATGAAACATACACTACAACTTCGGGGTTAATTATCATAAAATTTGACGCGATGGAAACAATCAATCAATCTATAATCTGCGATCCAAATACTCGAATTACCGCGAAATTTTATCAGCTTTTTCAAGATCATTAAAAACTCATAAATATAAGTTTTTAAGTGCTTTGAAGCATCACAGGCACAAAATAAAAATAAGACCGCAGATAACAGATGTGGGGAAATTTTCTTTTACAAATCGAACATTAAAAGAATGGAATACATTGCCTGCAAAAACCTTTGAACCCTTTCCTCGTAGCGTGCAACAATTTAGGGAGTTAATTTAGGGCATTACTATATAAATGAGGGAATTAGCTGACAATAGTAGGTTATAGATCGATGCGTCAGTTAAATATTGTGAAGTGAGGTGTCGTGAAGTGTAGAACAGAGAAACAATGAAAGAAATGATTAAAGGGTCATAGTGAAAAGTGTAGTGAAATGAAGTGAAGTGTAGTGAAGTGCAGTTGAATAAAGATTCAGTGCGGAGTTTGATTATGTTTCTTTCTTTGTTAAGGTAATTTTATATTTTTTATGAATTAGACAGCTTTATATCATTATTATATTTATTATCAATATTATTTTTATTTTATTATTATATTATATTATTGTATTACTATATTATTATATTATTATACTATTATATTATTATTAAATAATTTGCGTGTAGTATTTTATTAACTGCCACCGGGTTATGCCCCTTTGCAGTTGAAATAAATTTATCTTATTGCAAGATGTATTTTGGCTAAAATTAGTTCTGGAATCTTCCACGACCTGCCGCCTGTCGAGGTGCCGAAATCGTCGCGCGCCGCGCCGCCGCAACCGGGGGGGGGGGGGCAGGGGGCTCTTCACATCTAAAATCAAAGAAAGGAAGGTGTATTTTTTAGTCTCATCTGTGGAAATCCTTTAAAATTTCAAGAACATACGAGTAGCTTACTTATAATTGGTACCTGAGTTTGTTAAAATAGAAATGTAGATTTGAGATTGTTCTACATTTTGCTCTGCACAGTTGAATGTTGTATCAGGTGGATATTTTCCTCGCGTTTATTAATAATTACAGCTTATTAATACTTCATTTCTTAATCATTATCTTAATTAATCTTAATCATCATAAATTATTAATTATATAATCTAAAATAATAATCTAAAATAAAAATAAATCTAAATTAATATTAATCATCATAAATTATTAATTATTTTCCAACCTTCACTTTATGTTTGTTGTTTTATTATAATAATCATTTCTAAAATATGATTTAAAAGTTTTAAGTAAATGTAGTGCAAAAATTGATACTTTTATTTTTATTTATTTGCGGAACTAAAAAACTTCTAAAAAACTGTGTCCTATGGAGACATTTATTCCGGTGACGTTTTGTAGAGCTTCTGAATTCATTCCCCCACTGTTTTACGTAGCATATTAAGTTGAATCAACAAAGCAACGAATATTTTGGGCAAACATTGTTAACAAGAAATAATCTTTGTTACTTGGTGTAATAAAAAGTATTTGGATCGGCAAATGAGCAGTTTCTTTTGTACAGATGAAAACCTTGGAATTGAAGCACGAAGTAATAGTGTCCATACTTTTTTCTACTACAAATTACTTTCTACAACAAACTACAAAAGAAATGAATTATATGTGTTGTAACTGCTTTATAAAATTGGATAAACAATATAAATATACAAATACGGTATTTAAAGGTAAATTTATATTATTTTTTTCTGCATTTACCTAATATTTTTATAAGAGTCGATCCATATTCAAGAAAAAGAATATGTACTGGGCTAGTACGTCTTGTAAACTAAGTTTCTTTTCAAGCCGAGAACATGTAAAATCTATGAGGGAATATTCATAAATTAAATTCATCCATGTGCTGTAACATTGACAACTCCAAAAATACGAACACGAATGTATAATCGTTATTTTATAACATTTTATAATAAGCTTGATGAACTGAACACATGTAAATTCTTTTAGTAATATTTACTCCATATCCATCAATTATAAAGTACATAACTTGCATTTCACCCTCCAGAGAAACCTTTAGCATGTGTTTCCAGATCTTCCATTTTTCGAGCTGTAACAATATTGCAGTAACATTAACAATATATTACTTAGAACATAATTATTCCTTTAATACTTCCATTAAATTTAACATTTGAACAACTGGTTGACTATTTTAACGAAATTCCTTTCTTAACGCAAACGTACTTATCCCAATAGTGGCTTATTTCACATTTCACCAGCAAATTATAAAAATAGTTTCGCCGTTACAGCTTTTTCCAAATCGCAATTTCTTTTTAGATAGTTCTTTTGAGAGTTCACTTATACGAGCATTAATTGTTTCAGCATCACCTTCACCCTTTCTACTTCCAAGGAGGGACAGATGAAGCACGGCGGTATTCCTGCGCATTACAAGGTAAAAACAAGTTAATGGACTGTCAGAATTGCAGTAAAATTTAATCGCATTCTAAAGCTTCACAGATAATGACGTAATGAAAATTCTAATGTTATCAATGAACTAAATAAAGAAAAGTAATATTCAGTATGTGATCAAAAGTATCCGGAGTGGTGGAAAAAGACTTACCAGTTCGTGGCGCCCTCCATCGATTATGCTGGAATTCAATAGGGTATTGGCCCACCCTTAGCCTTGATGACAGCTTCCACTCTCGTAGGGATACTTTCAATCAGGAGCTGGAAGGTTTCTTGGGGAATGGCAGCCCATTCTTCACGGAGTGCTGCGCTGAGAAGTTGTATCGATGTAGGTCGATGAGGCCTGGCACGAAGTTGGCGTTCCAAAACATCCCAAAGGTGTTCTATAGGATTTAGGCCACTGTGCAGGCCAGTCCGTTGCAGGGGCAATCTATTGTCGTGTACCCACTCCGCCACAGTATAAGCCGGCTGCGCAGTTTGAACAGGTGCTCGAGCACGTTGAAAGATGCAATCGCCATTCCCGATTCGCTCTTAAACAGTGAGAAGCAAGAAGGTGGTTAAAACACCAACGTAGACCTGTGCCGTGATAGTGCCACACAAAATAACAAGAGATGCAAGCCCCCTCCATGAAAAACACGACCTCACCGTAACACCATTTTGGACGTGTCCGGTTACTTTTGATCACATAGCGTATCTACTGGGAGTAATTAACAACGTGCAATCTTTATGCAAAGAAGAATAAGAACAGAAGCAATTTAACCTGATTTGTTTCAAATGAAATCACAATACTTTTATATTTTAGTCTCTTTTAATAAAAGATACAGTCATACATGATATACATATACATGTGTGATACACATACACATACATGTGTGATTTTACAAGGGAGACTTATTTGGTTACACATATTTGGTAGAAAGCGGGAACAATTTATTCACTGAAGCTGAAAAAAATTAGGGTCTGCATGTATCCCTTTTACAAGAAGCTGAAATTTCAATGTACTTTCTGGTTTTATACCCGAGAAGGGACGTAATAACGCAAGTCCCAAGGTTAATGGGCAATAATTGTTCTCAAATTGAGAGCGCCGTCGAATTTGGCTGAACATTTCCACCCACTAATTTCTCTCCAGAGGGCCCTTCATTCCTGGAGGCTAACGCGCTTTGTAATTTTGGCTCAAATGGGGAAGGGGCCCGCTCTCTCCATCAGCCATCCCATATTTCTCTCAAGGCCTTGGAAAGGTTTCATCAATTTTTGCTGCGATTCAAAAGGACATCGTGTAAATATATGTACGTTTTGAAAAGAGTGCTATTTCTTAGGTTCTCTTGAAGCCATAACGATTGATTCTAAAAACATCAGACATAAAAATGAAGTGTCTGAAACAGAAAATGGGGTAACGCGGTGGAAATCCGAGAGAATAATTTTTGAAAGAAAAAATGATATAAAATTAATTCGTGGCTGGATAAAAACATTTATCACTCAAGAAAGATAATGGGAGAAAATGAAAAAGTGAAGTTCCATGTTTAATGTTTAACGTGCTGCGCCGGTATTTGCATAGAGAATTCGTCGACGAGAAAGCTTCGCCCAAACCGTTCGCAAGCGATACACTCTCTTTGAAGACGTGTACATGAAAGGCTGACGTACAAATATGCGAGCATGTGCATGGAGTGGCTTGAAGTATGGCATGGAGTACTGTGAGTACTCCATGCCATACAAAATGTTGCCAATGTTACCCTCTAAACACTATTTTAACACCACAATGTACGAGACCCAATTATGTATGCTCATTTCATCACTATTTTTTTAGCCGTTGATGACAGCAGTTACGAAAGTTTCTTTTCGATTGCAATTCTCAGTAGTACCTATAGATCTTTAATTGAATGTTACGTAATATTACATTTTGTAATTATTTATTATATAAACATTGGCATGAGTAATTTTTTTCATTCGATTTCCAGTAAATCTGATGAGAATAAAATACTTTCAAGCTGAAAACGTTAGAAAGTTTCAATGTAATTGCAACGTAATTACGTTAGTCTATTTCGAATACAAATGAGAATGAAGACAATTCTTATCTTGAATGTTAGCTGATTATCTGGCGTTACTAGGCATTCAATTTTCATAATTATGTATCACATAGCCCAACCCGACCCTAACGTGTGATTTCTCTTTGAATAAAGAGTCGCTCAAGTAGTTTAAGTGTTGTCCAATTTAACAGGAATATTTGCCTTCCATTCCACTTCTACTCCATAACGAAGGAGCAGTAGACGCAGTTGTGGTATCAGAACGACGCCGCTATAGGAGTAGAAAATGGTAGGAAATGTAGAGCAAGGCAATTTCTCGAACAGTGAACTAGGGATACATGGTTGGGTTGAAGAGCACAAGTGAACCACGTCGCTACTGAGATGTAATAAATAGATACATAACTAAATCGCTGAACTGAAAAATTTGAGAATAATCTAGGATGCTGCATTCTTCTATTTTCAGTACACAGAGAAATACAGAGTGTATTTATTGCGATGGATTAAAATGTTAAGTTCCTTCTACGATCTTGTAAACATATATTTATTACGTAAATTTCAAAGCAGTTTGAAACACATTTTGAGTTTTTTTGTCCATATTTAAAAACCTTTATTTAGGTAAATTTAGTCGGAAAATGTCATATAAAGTCATTTCAAGCACTTCCAGTCGCAAATACAATAGTGTTTTCAAATCCTGGAAATGTTCGTATTAAAGGCGTGAGCGATCTTAAAAAATATAGTTGTGTAATTTTTGAAGGAAAAAAAACAGCTAAATTAGTTTTATGTCATCTTAAACAGTGCAATTGACCCTGTCCGTCCGGAAATTTTGATGAAAAAATTATGAGCTGTTTTTTGAGAAAATGGTGTTCGAGTGTTACTGACAATGCAGAATTTTGAGCTCATTTGAATAGAAAACTGTTGAGTTTTCTAGAAACATTGTCTGACATTATTGAACGTGTACTGAACTCAATAATGTGAACAAAGTGCCGCTAATATCAATATTAACGACGCGAAGTAAAAAAAACTACTAATTTGTAATTTTTGAAAATACAAAACCATAGAGCGTAAGGCGTTTATGTCATCTTATGAAGTGAATTTAGCACAATCCCTATGAAAAGTTTAAAAAAAGAACTTTCAGCGATTTTTGAGAAAATCTTATTTTTATATTTTTAAATTGTATATACTGCTCTCAATATTACGCGAAAACTATTACAATTTTCAAAACATGTCCATGTACATGTGCATGAAAGAAGTAATTAAGCATAACAAATTTCATTCGAAGGAAAAATCTCTATCGCCGAAAATTATTCAAATATTTTAAATTTTTGAAAATTCAGAAAAAAAAACAGTGAAAATCGGACCTATGTTACCTTTATTGATGTATTTCTCTCTTTTATTACCAGAAATTTAAAGAAAAAATTGGAGCCATTCTTGAGAAAAGTATGAAAATGTCCTTAGGGCTTCATGTAAAGTACCCCCAAATTTTGAAGAAATTTTTCAAAATCGCAGAGCTTTAACCCAAGCGAGATGGACAGGGGTTTCATCAATTTACAAAAACTTCTACGCATAGTTTAGGTCCTAGTAGTGTTCACAGTCACGTTTTGAAAATAACGGAGACACATTCGGCATCAGCGGATCCCAAAATGTCTATTTCCGTTACAATCTGAAATCGATATGCCACAGCATTACATAACTTTCCTTATATTATGTATTTTACACCGTATATGTACGTATAGGGAAAGTAAAAATTTTGGTAGAAGTAGTGAAAAAACGCACGTACCCCCGTATTTTCACCCACAATTATGCGAAAAATACTCATATTTTCGGAAAATAGTACAGGAACTTATTTTAAAATATATCTTTAAGAAAAATTTTTCATGAATTGAACACATTTCAATCTTTAATATTTTACTTGCAGGGAGACTCCGAACAAAATTGAAAATTTGCAATTTTTTGGAAAATAAGGGGTAAACGAGCAGGAGACAGGAGTTATTCTGAAATATAAGTGTTTTTGGTGGTTGTAATGCACCTTTGAGTGGATTGGTGAAACGCTGTGATTTACTATACTATCTTTCCGACATTTACACGAATCTAGTTATTTCAGCATAATGCCGATAAATTAAATGTAATATTGTAATGAAACTCAAATATAAACGAATAGATCCTTTTTTATACTTTTTATGCACGGAGATAGACGAGTTTGGCAACAGCAACGTGTTTAAAGTTTTTTGTATGACCTTGCAAAACTTTTAAGTAGGACAATAGCCACCGAAAGTGCCACGCTTTCTTGGTAGTGATAATAAGTGTGTTGTTTGGACGCCATCTATTATTGTGGTCCCTGCAGGCGAATGGAAGCCGATCGTGCACGACTCGGGCGGCTACAGCAGCGGCCACTCCAGCTACGGGCCGTCGGGCGACCCGTCGCTGCATCAGCACGCGCACCAGCCGCACCAGCCTCACGTACACGTGCACGTGCAGCACGGACGTGGCGCAGCTGTGGACGGGGCGGCCGGGGCGTGGAAGCCGCACGTGGGCGGCGGCGGCCTCGCCGGCCGCGACCTTCCTGCTGCCGCCGCCCCCGCCGCCGCCGCCGCCGCGCCGCGCGCCCCGCCGCCGCCGCTCCCAAGCCCCCGCGGGGCCTCGCAAGGGCAAGGCAGCGCCGCCAAGCTGCGCGGCCACGCGCCCCCGCCCCCGCCCCGCCCCCGCCCGCCCACGGCGCACAAGGCCAAGTTCCGCGCCAAGCCCTTCCTCGGCAAGCCCTTCGGTGAGTTCTTTTTTTACATATCTATTGCAGAATGAGGTCATTATACAACGCTCAGACATACGGCTTTTCAGTTCTTACGAGCCTACATTTTCAGGTGAAAAAGATGCCAAGGGGGGAGCTACGGCGACCTCCCTTTAAGCATAAGAATGTAGCAGTGCGAGTCTTAAAGTGGAGGAATACATATTGTTGACTCTTGATGGAAAGAATATTTATTTCATTATCTAATATCATAGATCAGGTCTTATGAATTTTGTTAGTCGTTGTATGGGCGGTGTAGCGCGAGACTGGACAGGCGCACGCGAGTAACGGACTAAAATGGCTTTATAAATAAAGAGAACAAAATGAAGTTTCAAATGTGGAGTGACGGTTAATTATTGTTCGATGAATACCTAAGTGTCCGTTGCCTTAATTCACTTCGGAGGTGACGAAGTGTTTCCATGTCAATCTGGAATCCACTAGGACGCTTGCATAATGGATAGGGAGGTTGTGGAGCACCATGCTGTTATTGCTGAGTCGAATTCAAGTGGGAGTGGAAAGGCTGGAAATAGGGTGAAAACTTTCTTGGTGGACTTACTTGGATTAATCTTCATTTTCCACTTTCTACACTATGAATCTATGGTCGTGAGGTGTTCCTGAAATTAATTCCTTGTAGTGTAGAGATCCTGATTTGAGGCAAGACAGTGTCATCTGAAAAAAGGGCAGTGTGTATTTTAAGATGCGAAAATGGGGTACCTTGTACGGTGATATCTCGCTTCTCTTTGCTGACGAATTTCTCAGGCTGGTAAACAGAAGTTTTGTTTTTCACTTTGTCATATATTTCATCTTTTGTATTCTCCTTCGTTTATTTTATATTACTTCATTTTTTTCTGCTGTGCTACGTCTACTATCTGTTTTTTGGAAATCAATTTTCTTGGAATTTCAACACGAAGGGAAAAAACTAAAATGACAGAACTTTGTTCAGGGTTCTGGTCATGGTAGATTGTGATCGATAGACAACGGATGTTCAAACACTTATAACCGACATTTCGACTCCTAAAAGCAGTAAAATTTAAAAATAAAGAGAGGAAAGGCCGTACTAACTAAAAATTGGACAAAATGCTCTAATGTATGCATTTCATTGTCTGCATCTAAAATTCACAGAGTTGATTAATTATTTAATGTTTCCAAGCGTAAACTACGTATGTCATTATTCCCGTAACAATAGTGAACGTGTTTCTGTCCCGCCAGAACGCGAGGTTCGGTGCCAACCTGCAGGTTGTGCGGGGCTCGTGAGGGCTCCCGTTTTTTCATCGATTTTTTTTCATACATTCGAAATGTAATTGCTTCGTTTCCAGTGTCAAAGCAAACTGGTCAATAAACAGAATATTGTCTGAGTGTTTTGAGAGTTTTATCAGTTTGAGGTTACAAGGTTATAGCATGAATTTCTGAAAACCATCAAATTAGTAGGTTCAAGACATTAGAACGACGTAGATGTAAAGTACAAATTCTTATTTTTCCCTGCGATGTACTGTTCTTATTGCATGATACAGTCGACTTGTTAAATATTATAAGAAATTCATAGCGCAACCAGAGTGAAGCTGAGAAGACTATCATATTCCCAAATTTCCAAGATTTTAGTGTTTCTCACAAAGCTTCTCTAAAATACCTCAGGACTCTGTGTTTGCCCGAGAAGGCAGATTGCTTGAAGAAAGCACGTCCCTCATCAGATAAATTTTTATTTCCCACTTCTCTTGAGAGGCTGAATGTTGCATTTGCTATTCGTCTTTTTGATGGAGATACAATAGCTGCCTCATAATATCTTCCTGAATCAGCAGGAACTCAGACGTTAGAAATTCTTTAAAGGGATATCACAGAGGGACGATTACCAGTGTTCCTAAATATCTAGTAGCAGTTTTCTTCTAGAACAGTCTACAGCGTAGGTGGGTGCTTGGAACAAAGAAGTCCATTAGATGTAAATAATAAATCTGGGAAATTAACTACAGAAACGCACACAGTACTCTCCCGTTTTGTCAAAGGACTTCTGCGGTTATGCAAGCATTTGTTGGAAAACAGGGGAGTGAAATAATATTCATCTGGGTTAGATGCAAGTCATAACTTGGAAACGTGCCTTGGGCAATACAGGCAGATGAGTGGTGCAAATTATTTTATAACTTCATACAGATTCAGGAACCTGAGAGGAAACTCAAAATTCCCAACTTCCTTGAGCTAAAATCCTCTAAATGTGGAGTATTTCCTTTTGTGCGCTGAGTGTAAAGTAATGAGCTGAATGTGGCAAATGTTGTTGAAGAGGCAGATGTACTGGTGTCTGTAAATGTGAAAGCATTTTCATTATCAAAGACCCACAAACGTGGACTCTGAGTACACAACGTGTTTGAGGAAGTATTTTGCTATGTATAGGGACAATATTTATCCCCTTTTTCTTCATCAAGGCTCAGCAATAAGTGTTTTGTGACGAAAAACCGCTTTTATCACAGCAATACAATACTCTGTATACTTTTACTATTCTTTGTAAATAGTATCGAGAAAGTAAAAACCAGACACACGCTGAAAAATAATTAGCAATACAGATTTTAAACAAAAATTATGTTTGGAATATTTTTAAAAGCTCAAATAAAATAAAGTTCATAATGGATTTACCGATAAAGAGCTATTATTGTCCCCCATTTAATCCTAGCGACAAACCCGTTTTAAAGATAACGCATAGACCTCGCATACTTAACATACTAAAATCGTTCTGAATAAAAAAATTTAATGTAGAGAACCAAAAACTGTTAAACGCAATATTGCACCAATACCAGTTTTATTGACTGCGAGGGAAGGGATGAAATACGTAATTCCAAGCCTTGCCGTCAAGGGAGGGGGCGAGTCCAATGAATCGCAGTGGCCATACGTCCACTCGCACCCTAGATTTCCCTCTCTCGCAGTTGCAGGTCACCTGGCCTCCGTCGCTTCCGCCAGTGCCCCCCCCCCGCCCGCGGAGCGGCCGGCGCCCTCGCCCCTCGTGCCTTGTGGCGGATCCACTCGGCGACGCCAAATGGGCTTCTTTGCCGGCCATCGATGAGAGCAAACACCAGCCTCGAGAGAGCGTAAAATACACAGAGAGTAATGCATCCTCCCAATGATCTACTCAAAAGTATGTTTCTTAACATCAATTTTAAAGTGCTCTTCTCTTGCAAAATGTGTTCGCTCGGTGTATTAAAATTTCTCTTTAATATCATAAAGAACTTTAAAAAAAAGTAAAATTAGGCTTCTGAAACGTCTGAAATTTTGCTAGATATGTTGTGCCCGTAATTCTTAATCAAATTAACGTATTATAACAATGAAGCAAATTCTAATATGCTTTTGAGCCAATGAAGTCAGAGATCAACTTAATATGTTTCTGAATCCGACATCTTTCTATTTTTTTTGTGTCTTCTGATACATAGATTCTCCAAGGTGAATGTCGCTAAAAAGTTAACTTCCACATTGCAAATGTATCACTGAATACATTTGATTCAATGATACACTTGCATTTCAAAACGAAAAGTGAATTATCCAATGCTATATAATTTAATGGCGTTTTCCCACATGTACGCGGTGGAAAAGGAGCCGCCCTTCTTATAGAACCTTCTATAGTAAATCCGAAAGCTACTTAATGACATTAACATACAAGACATTCGAAAATGAAAAATGGAAAAAACCCACTACTCCACCTGGGTATTACCAAATATTGTAACCGATCTGACTTTAACTGTATGCAGCGACACAAGTCTATCCAAAGAAGAATGGAACATAATTTTTTCTAAATTTTCCCTCAACTACAACAACCACTGCTTTTTATGTATGAAAGGAAACCAGACAATGAAGAAACTGAACCCCTCCTCTATTTACCGGATAAAATGATTAAATATAAACCAGCGGATTATGCCAGCTCCACCACTGCCAATGTCTACACGCTTATGGCAACATGTAAATGTCATGAAAGCACATTTGTCTAACTTGATCATTTTTACTTTCTCGCTCTTATAACCTAGGAAGAGAAAGCATTGTAATCGTGCGCCAGAAAACGGCGAAGTTTTGACACAAAATCTCTTATCATCGTGGCCTAGTAACGAAAAAGTGGAAAAATTCACTCGTTAATTATAAAAAAAAATCTTCTTCATGGACGTGGTGAACCCAGAATTTATGTTTTATGGGTCTTTCATACCGAACAATTGATTGTCAGCAAAACGTCTGTCTTTCAACCTCAACGCCCTTAAAACTTTCACCCAATTTTCTCCAAAATGTATAATCTCCAATTGATGTCGCGGTCCCTGGAATTTGAAACCGAATTTTTTATTTCGGGGATACTTCACATGGAGGCTCCGGGACATATTCAAAAGAATAGCTTAAAATTTTTTGATTAAATTTTCATGTTGAACAATGCAAAGGATGTTTAATAGAATGGTGCAGGTCATATTTTCGTTGTCATCCCCGATTTTTCGATTAAAGGGAAAAAATTAAAACTTCAAAATTGAAAATAGAGATTTTTGTCTCAAAGAACGCAGTACAAACTTCGCTCTTCAAAAAAGTCATGTTTAATTTTTTGAAAAAACGATAAATTTTACGTATTTTGCGATTAAAATTTACAAAAAAATTCTCAAAAAGCACTTAAATTTTTTCTTTAAATTTTCTGCTCTTGTGTAATAAAAGACGATCAAAATATGGTTTTAAGTTTACTTTCAGGTATTTCTCAATTTTTGAAAATTAAAAAAAAATTAACTACAAAATTGAAGATAGAAATTAGCTCTTTCAAAAAGGTAATGTACAATTGTTTGAAAAAACTAGTAGATTTTGCATTATTTCTTGTTAGTTGAAGTTAATGAAATAGGCAAGGGTTTCACACTGACTACGGGCCACGAAAAATATTGAATGAATGTTATCGATAATAATTCCGAAAGTAATATCCAGGTGATTAATTTGGAATTATCTACCAATTTGCGCTTTTCTTTCAGGGCCTAGAGACCATTTTGATTTCTAAT